TATTCTCCTCTCTCTCCACGAACGGTAGGCTGCCATTCGGCATCCCCATACTTAATGAGGTTTTGGTCCCAATCCCCCTTCACCTTGAGCGACTTCAATATGGGCCTTCCAACAAAGAAAGGAGTCGCACCGTCCACCAGGAAGCATTTGATGAGGCCGGAGACTCCATTGACGTACACCGGCAGGCGAACAGTCCACTCGGCCTTGCGCATCGCATCACCTCCAAAGCCGAAGAGCTTAGTGGTCGGGTAGAAGGTGTAGCGCTCCAAGGGAACTCCCTTATCATACATGGGCGTGATGAACAATCAGCGTCTAGTGGCCACAGACCATGCTACTCGCTCCTCCGTCTTGAAGGCCAAACCATCCTTGCTCAGACAACATGGGGGTCCACTTCTAGTTGAGGTCGTGCATCATGAAAGTTTGCCCAGTGCCCTTAGTGGCAGTTTCCGTTTTCGCACGCTTAGGAGACTATGAATCCTTGTTCTGAGGATAATCGGCAGCTGCATGTCCATATCGGCCACACTTGAAGCACTACATGGAATCCAGTGCTATTCTTCCACGCTGAAGGGCTAGCCCTTTTTGTGGAGGTAACTTGCCCTTGCTCTTGCCCTTCTTTCCTTTTCCTCCCTTGCCGATGGGTCGTTGCGTGATCGCAGAGGAACTTGATGAACCTGGAAGGTCTGCTGTGCCGGTCAAGGCCTCAACGGGGTAGTAGCTTCGTGCAGCTTTGAGACTGGCAAACTATCTCCTAGCGTCCAGGTATGTCGTATAGGCTTCTTCCAGCTGGCTCCTCCTGGTAGTAGAGCTCGTCATCCGGGCTGCCATAGGTGGTCTCAGGGTCCTCATACTCTTCAAAGGCCTACTCATCCTCATAGAGCTCGTCCTCCAAGAGATAGGCATCCTCATATTCCTCGGTGTCCAGCTCACATTTTTTAGCAGTGTAGCCATGTTGAGGCTTCCTAGGATACCATCTTTATTGCTTCTTGATGAGGTTCTTGTTCCATCGAGGATGTGTTTCGCCTTTGGTCTTAAATCCTGGCCGTAGAGGTAGTACATGGCCTCTTCCACCTTAGTCAGCTCCAGCGTGGCTCCCACCTGTGATTGCAACAAGTGTTTCTATTCTTGCCCAAGTAGCAATGGTAGTGACTTCGAAAAGTTCGAGTACTGAGGGGGCAACCACTTCCAATTCTAAGCCGGTAGTTCAGAGTGTCACTCATCCTCTCGAGTACTTGTTGAGTACTCAGGGTTTGGGAAAGGATCTCAAGACCCATTGGTTTGTCGATTCAGGTGCCACTTATCACATTGTTGCTGAGGAATGGTTGAAGCTTTACAAAGTGAAGTATTGGTACCCAAGTTCAGCTCCAATCCTGAGAGGTGCAGGGGATCATATTCTTTCCACTGCAGGGATGGTCGACCTTGAGTTCAAGGTAGGTAGGACCCCTATTGTTATGCAGCGAGTAGTGGTAGCTCGAATCAAGTTAAATGTCAGGTTGCTTCTTCGAAGGAGCATCCACCCGGAGACACTGTCGGGTATTTTGACCCCGTGTTTTTCTATCTCCCTCAGCTACTCTCTGTGTTCCGTGCAATAGGAAAAGAAAGTTTGTTCTGACTTCCTACTCAGTTAATAGAAAAACTTCTCCAGGGCCCTTAGCATTTCGACCCGTCTATCGTATTAGAATGCCACATCGAATGCTTTGAGCACTCTCTCAAAGCCGTCGGAGGCGGCCTCGGCCGCCTCGGCCATATGTTCAACTTGCTTCCAGGCCGTGCTATGCAAGCTCGTCAGCAAGTTCAATATCGTCTCCTTGTCCTTGCCTTGGATGGCAAGTTTCTTCTTATATAGCATAATTCGCTATCTCCACTTTCTATAATCCGCCACCTTGTTGTTGAAGACCAGGATAAGGTGTTTTCATAGTTTCGATGGTGCCATCAACCATCGAAGAGGTAGTCGAAGGACCGCTTGTTATAGGTCCATCACCACCTATCGAAGCACGTCCAGCGCTCCGCTACCAATGTTATAAGCGGGCGCAACTCACCCGGTACAAACTCTCGAAATCTTGCTCGAAAGTCGTCCATCTCTCGGCTGCCGCCCACAAGAAGCCTCCAAACAGGGCGTGCGACGCACAATTCATACCACCTTTACGATGTCCAAATAAGAAAAAAAAACCTAATAAAAAACCTATTCCTCGAATTTTAATACAAAGACTTTAAAAATCGTCTAATATTACGAAATCGATTTCCATAAAATCCGCGATCACCATGTTTTTATCATCCTTTTCTAAAAAAATCCGGTTCTTTCCCTTCTAGATGCTCAACGAAAATACTAAAGCCGATCCAAGAAAAATTCGTCATTAATCTTAAAAATTAAATCCATAAATCGTCGATCATTTTCTCGGAAATATAACTAATAAAAATCTCGGTCGGGACTTCATTAACATTATCGTATTCCGAATTCCTCTTTTCCTATCCCTTTTCATAAGATATATATTCTTTTCGAAATCTAAATATTACGAATCTACATAATTAATATATTCAGATTTTGTAGACAAAACGATTTAAATTTCTTAAATTAATAATTCAAATAGAACAAGTGTAAATTAAAGAATTCCCACGACTTCTACGGAATCCAATTCTATCTGTATTAATAGAAATTCTGCGATTTTCTTTAAATTCCGTTCCATTAAATGTTCCGAAGCCTTCCAATATGTTTTTTTCGCCGTGTAAATTCGGACTTTCCAGACGAAGGATTCCTTGGGGCCTCTTTCGAGGGTTCAACCGCTTCTAAATACGGTTTGTATTTCGACATCAGTGCCGTGAGTATGGCCAAATAGCCACGTTCAATAATCAATTCTTCCATTAGTTCCGTGTCAGCGAGGCGCTTCGCATCGTCAGTGAAGGCTGCATACAAGCGCAATCCCCACCCATTTGGTCTTAGAAGAAGTTTTTTGTGCCATTGACGCAAGAAGTTTGGTGCGCCGCTCCAAGTTAGCACTTGAAATTTCCGCTCGCCTCCAAGGGTGGAATCCAAGCTTCTTCTCTTTCTTCCTGTCGCCGCCTTTCCCTTTTCCTTTCTAATTGTCCTTCTTATTACCCTTCTCCCAATTTCCTTTTCCGTCTTTATTTAGCCGCGGGCTCTAATAGCCCTTCAGCTTCAACTCCAAGAGAAACTCGCGGTTCATACAAACCTCCTCATCCCTCTTAAGTAGCCCTCCGGCATCTAAACCAAGAAGCTCTAAGAACTGGGTGGTTTGCCAGTAGCAGGTCTTTTTTATCGCCTTGAGTCTCTGCCCGATCAAATCAGCGGCGTGCGCCGCTAACTTGGAACTTCACATTTGATCCGGGGGCATTTGCAGCTGCCCAATATGAACTTAAATCCTGGAAAGAAAGACAAGGGCCTGAGGGATGCGCCGATTGGATTTTCATTGATGAAATTGGGCCGGGCCAGCGTGTCCAAAGCGAACGTTCTCATCTCCCTGTGCGTCCACATCCCCAACCGCTGCTCCAATTGCGGCGCGATCATCGTGTGGAAGTAGTACGTTGCCGCGAGCGATATCATTTGTCCTCGATCGGCAAGATTCGTCCCCTCAGCCTAGGCTCCCTCTGCCTACGTCTTCAAAAGCAATCTCGAAGCCAAGCGGCCCGGGATCCTCAATTTAAGCTAGTTTGATGCTTTTGGGGCTGTCAAAGCATCGCGAAAACCCATCCCCGATTCATTTGAGGAGGCACCCTAATATCTAACAATGTCACCTCCACCAAACGGGCCACGATCACGTCGACGAACCTCTATGGCCTCCTTGCCAAACAAGCCCTCTCTCTTCCTCCTCCTGACTGTAGGAGGAAGCTCTTCCTTTTATCTTTGACTTCACGGGACTCTTTGCCTCGGCCCCGGTCACCTCCGTCACCTTTGCTCCTCGTCTTTTCACCTCCTGGAGAGGGTGAGGCTTTCCCTTTCTTCTTTTTCTTCTTCCTCTTGGCCTCAGGGGAAGATCTCTTCTTCTTCTTCTTCTTGGCTCCTCCAAGCTTGCCCTTGGCCTTAGCGCCTTTGCTCGTCGTCTTCTTTCCTGAGAGCTCCTTCTCCAAACGCTTGACCTCGTTACGGGCCTTGGTCAGCTTGGCTTTGAGCCCTTTCTTGACCGAACTTTCCCCCGTGGATTCTTCTTCTTCATCTAAATCCCCTTCACCTGGATCAGCCCAGGGTAAAGCAGCTCGTTCAACTTTGATGCCAGCGAGCATATGTCCTTCTTCCAAAACTCCATGAAGGACTTGTTCATGTCCTTCCCAAAGCCCCGTGCTGGTGCCTTGTTGTTGATTTCTTTCTGGGCCAGGACCCTGAACTTCTCCACATGGATAGAGGCACCTCGCCTGGTGACCTTACAGTCATGGGAGGACTCTGCACAGAAGTGGTAGGCGCACTTCGAAGCCAATCGCTTGCCCTGCCCTCAGGCATCCACCATCTCATATACTCATCGCTTGCGCCCACGAACCTGGCGGTGACCCAATGTCCTTGGTCATTGGTGGAGACAACTTCCAGGATGTCGAGGATGATGGTACCTTGCGAATGGCCCTCATTGTCCCTAATCGCTCCCTCAACCACCTGGCCGGGACTGAACCGGTGGTTATACCAGGCCTCGGTCTACACCCACCGCCACCCACATTGGGGTGACGGGGGGGGTCACACAGTTGCTTCCAGCCAAGTGCTTCGAAGAATGGGAGACATATCTTCGCGGCTACACTACGTTGCGGCGACGCTCATTGCAATTCATCAAATATTTTTAATAAACATGTCATAGGAGCGACCGACCGCATGATATTAGGATGTTTTTTTAAATCAAGGGCTCCAATATCGGCTTCCGTTTGCCATCATGCTTATCAACCTAATTTGTTTGGGCCGGATACCAAAGCCTTCTCTTTTTTCTTGGTTTATCAACGGAATCAATCCTGGCCTCGGAGAAGCGAACCTTGAAAAGCAAGGCCAAGCTGGTTGGCTCTACTGTTCAAAAATTAAATTATCACATTTTTTGTACCACCAAGTCGGCATCTTAGACGCCGAAGCGCACCAGTCATTAAATCGATCCATTGGTGCAAAAAGTCTCTGGAACTGTCAGTTGGACATTGATGGGTGATCGTCCCACCCATACCGCCAAAACAACCTGCGCAAAATAATTGACATTGCATCTTCAATTCACTTCAAAACCAAGCATGCAAAAGCTCACAATTCATTGCTGTAAACGCTTGTATCCACTTCATCCTTCTTGCCGCTCTCAAACTCCTTCTCATTGCCATCGCCCAGCACGGCAGCTCCTGGGCTGTCCAAAACAGCGGCCTCTGTGCTGACGGCGCCCGGTGATATCATGCGTGCGAAATGGTCACGGTAACCGAAGGACAAGCTTGAGGACATCTCGACGAATTTGAATCTTCGTGTCAACTCATCCACCTGCGCTGTTGAGGAACAATCAAACGGGATGTTCGATCATGCGGTTCGGCAGGCTTGGCAATTTGATTGCGAAACAACATTTGGAGGAATTAGCATTCAACCCTCTACTGCTTAAACAAGAGCTTCCTTTACTGTTCTTCTCCCATCATCTTGTTGGCACCTGAGCAGACATGACTTTGATGGAGGTCTGTGCAGAAAAAGGCAGAGCCAAAATGTTCACCACGCGTTTCACCGATTGGACCATGGCCACGCCATTGCTCTTTTCCAATTCACTGAAGAAGGTGGCGGATGGAAACTCAAAAAATTGATCTGCCAGAGCTGAGACGATCTCCAAAGGAGGATCAACTTGATCAACGGTTTCCAACATCTTCAAGAAAAGTTCGTCTTGAAATAAGCCGCGTGTAAGAACCTCACTTCCAACCAGCTTGGAACAACATCACACCAAACAGAAAGGCCAATTTTCAAACAACGGTATGGCAAACCGTTTTGAGCTACAGCTATAGATTTGGCTCAACAAAAGGACACAAACAAGTTAAAACGTTCTTCCGAGGCAGGTCAGGAACCACCAGGATGTACTTGGCACTTCCGGCCGCTTCTGCAGCCTCACTGACTGCACTTACGAACACGATGGGCCTGTGCAAACGCTCCATGACCATGCTTTTCAGCACCTCAGCTGACAAAGCCCTTGAGGACTCGTTTAACGCCAAACACACTTCTCTCATCAAACGTTTCTCCCATCTGCGAAGTTGGTTTGATTTGGTCGACTCAGCTGGTCAATGGTCACGATTTCGATGCTAGCTGTGAGCTCCGAAAAGCAAAGACTCTTGAACGCTCTCTCTTCCACTTCCTTCCCCTTCTTTCCTTTGATTCTTAAAGGATGGAATTCTGCCAAATCACCAACTTGGAATGAAAGTGTTTGAAAAGAAGTTGGACGATCTGGCACTGATGAGTACCATCACTTGTTTCTGTTTCTTTTAAAGCCTTGCCTGACAGGTCATGCGCCCCTCGGAGCTGGCGGTGCTGCCCAAGATCAGAATCTGCGCGTTAAGCTCGTCCGATCCGTTGCTCCTCAAGCTCGCGCGATGCGAGCTGCGCAGGGACGCCGCATGCGGCAGCAGCTCGGCCACCGCGGCGGTCTGCCCGTCCTCCGACGTTCATCTTTCGATGGACTTGGTTGTTCCCATGTCTTTCCAAACCCCCAGTGAGGGGAAAAGAAAAAGGGAAAGATCGGCGCGTCTAACCCACCAAAGCCCGCCTCGGGCGCAAAAGCGTTGAAGTCCACCACAGGTTTGCTCGGCAAGACTTGGTAGCTCTCTTCAATGATGCTTGGATCGATGGAATTCTGCGCGAAGATCAGAAGATCTGAACTGCTCCACCCTTCCTGAAATGGGTCTTTCAGCATTTTGATACAAAAAGACACAAGTCGGGGACCACTCAAGCAAAATCCACAGTGTGTGGTGCTTCTGCCTGCCAGGGCTCTCTTAAGGTCCGAAAACCAGCGTCATCGTAGAAGGAGAAATCCGAGCACTTCAGCACCACAATCTTAACCTTGTTGGCCACACCGGAGCAAATCTCTACTGCACACCAGGGCCGCGTCAAGATCAGCTTACTGGCCTGGGACGACACAAAGAATGCAGCTGGACTGGACCTGCTTGAAAACAAAGGAGTTTCCAATCTTCCAAAGAACCGCGTTCCATCGACTCATCTGTGACTTTGTGCACTCAACCCATCTTGGCATTGCTTTCTGAGTGGCTACAATCACCAAAGTCTCCGACTGGCTCTTAACGAGGTCTCCGATGTCCGCCAAGCCCTCGCACGGTATACACAAATATTCGACCAGAAGTGCTTTCACACCCACCCAAAAGGTTGAACCCCTACGCTGCAAAAACGGAAGTGAAAAGGATCTCTTGTTGAAGCGATTCTTTTTCCAAACACAAGGCTCTTCATGCTTCTTAGCCTAGTGAGCCGAGAGGGTGCCGTCTCAACCACTCCGCGCCGGCCTCAAGTTCATCTGAGTCCAAGAAGACCTTCACATGTCCATTGGTCTGTCGAAGCAACTCGGACTTGAGCCAGCGGCACAGCACCCCCGCGCCAGCTTTGTGATGGCAGAGGAACATGTCATACATCTTTCCGGGAAAGAACTTCTTGTACAAGGCACGAAGAACCAAAAGACCCAAGACCGTGGCGATGGTCAAGACCAGGAACATCAAGATGATTCCGATGACAGTTCGAGTTCGCGTGTCATTGCCATCAACCAGAAAGGATGCAATCAATAGGAAGAACATGAGTCCTGCGCTTAGAAAGCAATCCCCAAAATTTGCCAGATCAGTCACCCAAGGTTGTACGTAAGTCACAGCCAGCAAGTACAGTAGGATGAAGCCTGCCAAAAGAAGAATCTGAATTGCTGCTGAGTCTGGAAACAGGATCGGCACCAAGGCAATCAACACCTTCTGCACAATGAAGTACAAGCCCCAATAGTAGCCATGATCCTTGAACCGATTGAAAAGGAACCGGTATTGCACAAGGAGCTTCATCCCATGCCCATCGTTCACCAAGATGGGATAGCGCCATGTAATATGGGCGACATAGGCGACGAAGCCGGCGCCATAAAGCAACAGGCCTCCAATAGAAAGGATAGCCATAGCAACATGTGGGCCTGGCACCCAGCATTGCACTGCAGGGCTAGAGACCATGGTCTGCAAACCGTTGGGATTGCTCTTGCAATGAATGGGCCGCGTTAGAGACATGCAAAGGCTCAAATAAAGAACCAAGAAGACCAAGCCTGAGTTGTTGACTTCATCAAAAAACCAATTGGGGAGGAAGATTGAAGAAGTCAACCCATTCCCTTTTCAAGGAAATGCAAAGGTGTGATCTGGGCCACCTCCTTGTCATCCTGTCAAACCAAGAAGCCAATGACATTAAGGTACTTTGGCCAGCTGAAGTGTTGTCCCTTCCAACGAGCCAGCAAAGCGGCCAAGAGCGCCCCACCAGCGGCCAGGAGAGGGATCACCAAGATCAGAGTCAAGAGATTCAACAGGGGATCATCCGTCCCAACATAGCCTCACATGCATCCTAATCGCACCCACAAAAGTTTTCCAGTCAACGCCACCACATCGGCAATCACCCAGGTGGAAAGAGCTTTCCGCCCAAACACCGACATGGAAACTGCTAGGCTGCTAGTAGAGACATATTTCCACGTTGGTTTTCAACGAACTGCAACGATCCAAGATGCCAAACTTTGACGTGGCTCAGAGACAAAGAGACAACGAAATCCGATCTCCGCAAAGAAATTGAAAAGAACAAGGAACAGTTGCTTCAGTTGCCGAGCAACACTGCATCTTCACAATGTCGAAGTCAAAGTTCACGAGTTGCATGAGCTGCAGAACGGATCGGACGGGCTCCTCCCAAACCAAAGAGAGATCGGAAAAGACCCCCAAGGTCTGAATCATCACTCCGGTTTGTGTTCCAATGATCATTGCGGAGATGACCTGGTCAGGTGGACATGGAGCTGGGATTGCTAAATGAGCATCCTTGCTCCTAGTAGCGATGCCAGGAGCGCCCCTAGTAGTGTCCTTGCTCCTAAATGAGCACCAGCCCAAAAAGGCCAATAGGCTTTTTGATCCACCCTTCATCTTTCCAATCCATAGCATGTGGAACCGCATCTTCAAAATTCAAAAACACGCGCGCTACAGGATCTACAGGCAGCAAGGACTAGACTTATGTGAAACAACTCAATGCCTCGGGCTGCTACTTTGCTATAGGGCCCAGCAGGACCAAATCGGTGGAGGATGCAAATAGGATTCTGGTGTTTCCGTATATGCGCCGCAACTGCACGAAATTGGACTCACAACTCACCCAACCTGCTTCGAACTCTTGGTGAGTTTCTGCCCCATGCGCCATCCCAAGACGATGATCGCCAACAAAAAGGCCACCAAGGCGAAGGCTCCAGGGATCACGTCCGAGCCAGCGCACGGGCTGCAGCGACCCAGGCTGTCAGGGAAGTGGCCAGGCAAACCTCACTCGTCGAGCAAAAGGAAATTTGATAAGTTCCCCTAGAAACACCTGGGACATTTAAGTAGTTACGTAGTTCTCACGGGATATCCTTTATGTGAGGAACTGTAGTCTTCTTCTCTTGAACCGTAAGTTTCTTGTTGAGATGAAGGGTCGGGGGTTCATGGTCGATGGAAAGACAAAGAAATGACATGAATCGTCTTCCGGGCATCTATGTTGACGGTCAGGGTATCTATACAAGTATCTATAAAAATCTAGGCAACCAGGCTTCTTCACGGAAGGTCTTGTTAGCTACTCAAGTCTACTAGCGGCCTACCCGCCCACCAAAAGCGAGACACAGAATCCACAGCTGGTTCCTCCACGGCCTTGGGCGCAGATCGATCCGGTGGGCTCTCCACCGATGCACTGCAGCTCGTTTTTACATTTGAACACGGAGAGAGGCTCCGAGGAATGAGACCAAAAGCCCGCTTTGAGCTCCGGTGATGCGTGTTCACAATCGACATCATCCAGATTTGCTTCACAGAAGACCCGTGAGGTGCAAAGTGCCGTGTCTGCGAACGCATAGGAGGAACAAAAGGCTTCGACGCGTTGCAGGGCTTCTGCTCGGGTGTTGGCATCCAAGATTAGTTTCAGATCCCGAGAGCCTTTGCAAATCATTCCTTCAGGGCACTCCAAGCATTCGCCCAAGCGAGCGCACCAAGTGGCTTGCCCAAGCTCATCGACCAACGGCCTTCCATCACAAATGTCCACGTGGTAACGCCCATCTGGCGCAGTCAGGGATGGACCTGGACAAACACATGCAAACTCATGCGTAGCACCTGCCGATGCGGTG